CCGTGCCCTGCAGCAGGGACAGACGCACGCACGGGGCAAGTGTGGTGTTTCCCCTGTTGGAGCCGGCAGGTTTTGGGAGTTGAGACTCTCTCACCCCTGTGGCAGCATGTTACCTGTTTCATTTGCAGAACAAGTTAGACCGGGAGGGGGGAGGAGGGGAGCCCGAAGCGGATGTGTCCCATGGCCTGGGGTCTCATGCTATATTGGTTAACTGATGCTTTCCGTTGTACCCTCATCCCTGAGCCAGTGTGGGTACACCGGGCATTCTAGGTTTTGCAGAGTAAGGTCATCTGTGTGTGTCCCTCTCTGACCTCGAAGCTAAGATTGTGGGCCCTTGGAGGACCTGGCAGATAACGAATACCATAAGGATAGTATGTCCTGGTCACAAAGCTGTGTGACTTCCTCACACCCCTCTCCTACAGTTGTCTCCTTAGTTAGCTGCTCCTGTTGTGTGTGGAGGCTCCGCTCCCCAGGCTTTGTCTGTCAGGAGAGGCCTAGACCTTGTTGAGGAGACATGAAATCCACTTTCCCCTGGGAAGGGCTGCGTGTGGTGCTGGGTGCTAAGATAGGAATAAATAGAGCAGGAGCGGGTCAGAGAGTCTACTTAGTTCCTCCCCAGGGTGGGGTGGAGGACAGCTGAGGGGGACTTGAGCCTGCGCCCCTGGGCATGAGCTGCTTTGGGAGGTAATCTAGCCTGCAGTTGCCTGGGTGGAGGTCTCCTACAGCGAGCTTCACATTCCAGTCCCACCTCAGCTGGCTGAAGGGTCCTGCGGAGGGCTTTCTCTATAGTGAATGGCCTCATTTATAAAGGACGACGACGATGATCCCTCCCAGAGTGGGCACAAGACAGGTGAGATGACATACTGGAAGTACTTGGAGAAGTTTCACTTGGAGACACCCCTCCCCCACCCCACCCGAGCTGTGCCTGCTGCTCCCTTCAGTGCTCACACAAGCTGAGCAGTCCCTGAGACTCACCCACAGTGGCGCCCTCTCAGATCCTTCCTTCCACCCCGCCGAGCATCCGGGACAACCAGGTGCTGCAGAAGGAGCATCCAGAATGAAGAGCCGATGCTCTGGCCTCGGGGAGTGGTGAGGTGCTTCCTGCCACAGGGCTTTGCTCTGACCCAGTGCCTCTTGGGAATGCAGAGTCTTGTTTAGCAACACACTACACGACAACACACTTGGTGCATGAAATGGACCTTTGCATCACTCTTGGCACCGAGTTGGAATGGGCAAGTCCCTGCACCAGCTGTCCCTTTAAGTGGTATGTGGAGGGAAAACTCAAGGCCGGCCGCCCTGAATCCTGGGTACCCACTGTCTGATGCCCCAAGTGAAGCGGGTGTGATTGGATCCTGGCTGCCCACTTCAGGGGAATCTAATATGCTAATATATAGGGGCAGAATAACACTAGCAGTGTATTGACGCCGTGCTCATCTGCGCCAAGACCGTTCTTGGGAGTGTGCATGCTGTTCTCCTGTTAGACTTGTTTAGCGTGGCGACCCCATAGGCCCGTCACTGGATGTGCAGCAGATGGTAAGATGCGGGGCACAGAGGGGTGAACTCTCCCTGGAGTTCACAGAGCTTGTGAGGCCTTTTGAGGTGTGGACTTTGGCAGCTTATCTGTCACTCCAGCTGTCCTTGTCTGCTGTTGGGAAGGAGCGCCGCAGGCCCAGGCTCCTCAGTTTCTTTCCCGTTTGACGTTTGGTTTGATTTAGAATATCTTTTCAGGAGAGCCCATGATGGAAGGTCTGGAGGGAAGGTAAGGGAATCAGAGGTATACAGCCAGAGTCCAGGGCCCATGTGTAAGAGTCAGGGCAGTTCCTGTACCTCCCTCCCTGCCACGGTCTTAGAACTTCCTTCCGTCCCGGGTCGTGGGCTCCCTGGCCCGATCCTCACCTCTGCCTCTCTTGGCAGGCAGCCTTGGCTCTTGCACCTTAGTTTAGAGCGCACATCTTTTGACCTTTCTTGCAAGAGAATTTCAGACACCCCATGAGCCTGGGTACAGAATTGGCTCCAGGCTTAGCATGGGTATCATGGATTTCAGTTTCTTCCAGGCACGCCCTCTCAGGGACTGTGTTTCTTTAGTGGCAAAGTCCATTTTCTGGTCCCCAGAGTAAGGTCCTGGGCCCTTTGTTCTCCAGTTACTCTCCTGGTTTCTGTTGCATGTGCTACTCTAGTTTATTCTTGCCAGGGTCCTCTGACAGCCTCTTGTCCCCTCTGCCAGGGTGTGGGGCTCAAGCTGCCTGTCTTGCTTTATTTTACTTAGCCATGTACTTCAGATTTGTCATTTGGGGTGTTCTCTCCAGGTTTTATGTGTTCTACACTTGTCTACAAGTGTCGTTGGTACCTCATGGCCCTGCCCTGTGACATCAGCAGCGTGCCTGACAGATGTGAAATTCTTTCATAGCTTCAGATCATTTTCATATTCAGTGACTGGGATATATAGGGAGACCCCATCTCAAATGAAACAAAACAAAAAGGAAACTCCACCAAAAATTCTGTGTATGCTCTAAAAACGGATACTTTTCATAGTTAAGAAAAGCCTCATCTCCCCAACCTAACCAGGTTCCTAGAGGGTAAAACCGAATTTCATTTTGGTTACTTGTCTTCTGGGAAAGTTTAAGTTTCTCTAAGAGCTGAGAGTTCTAATCCTGTTGCTGTTGACTTCCTCTGCAGCAACCCTTGCTCCTGGCTGCTGGGGGGGGGGAGGCCTGCTTGCAGCCCCCTCCCTCCCCCGGTGCCCTGTGCGCTTACTTAGCTAAGCATGTTTCACCCTCAGACGCCTGTGCTCCTGGATCCCAAAGCAAGAGTCCAGACGGTGGACTGGCTTTCCTCAGCACTGGCTGCGCCACACTCTGCCCTCTTCAGGACTTTGTCTACTTTGGCGTTGTGGCCTGTGCAGAGGGCTGACGTAAAGGGATCTAATGGCTCATCTGGCTCTGGAAAACACAAGAGCGTGGCCAGGAGTCTGCTCAGTTACCTGGCCGTTCATCTCTGATGCCCCAGATGTGGAGGCAGAACGTGAGGCTGCCAGTTCCCCATGGTGTTCTTTTTGCTTTCATTTCACAGTGTGATGGAGAATGGAAGAGGGAGTTGAATTATGAGTATTTCCAGTGCCCATCTCTCCTCCCTTCTCCATTACCCTGAACAATCAGATTGTTGTTGGTCTGCTTTGGTTTTGACGTTCAGTACCTTGTGTGGCCCATAGTCACTCAGTTGGTATTTGTTGAATTGAATTATATGCACATGAATTATATGCCAGCGCCTCTTTCTGTTCCTCCTGCAGCATGGGAAAATTAAAATTACCCCACCCCTCACCCCAACATGCCCTATACAGAACTTGTGCCATGCCTCATTTGGCCACAAGGTGGCAGTGTGACACAGTGGGGCGCTTGCATCCTTGCTACTGATCTAGTGGGTTCTTTGAGGGCTTCTCTTTGGACCGGCTGCTTATCTGTATCCTGTCAGTTGGAGACAGTTCAGCACACTGTGGGCCACAGCATAAAAACACTAACGTTTTCTTGTTGGAGATTCCTGTGTTTGCCTTTGGCTGAACCTCAGCTGTCTGATCCGACTTGCCAGGCACTAGCTTCCTGGACTTAAGCTCTCTCTCAGCCCTCCCTGCTCCTCTGCAGCCAGACGGCCTCATTGTAGTCAGTGCCCAGCCCTCCTCTTACCACATGCCTGGATGCCTCCACTGCCTGCCTGTCATCTCTGGCCTGACCGATTGCCTGCCCGCTCGGCCCACACAATGTCCAGAGCTGTTGGAGTAAATCTGTGTGGGTCTGTGTGGGTTTCAGCATCTATGCACTACTCCTAACAGGCACCCTAGTAACACTGGTAGCCACTACCACCGGGCACAAGTCAACTGTCATTGCATACCTGAGAGCAAGCGGTTGTCCATTTTACAAAGCAGAGGTATGGTAGGGTAGGGTGCCTTTGGCTTCAAACATAGAGTTCTGCTACAAGAGTGTAAGCAGCCAGGGAATTATTCTTGGCTTTTTGTTTTGTTTTGGAGATAGGGCTTCGCATAGCCCAGAGAATCCGGAGCCAAGATCAGCCTTGAACCCTTGCTGTCTTGTCTAGTCTCCCGGTTGCTGGCACTGCAGGGATGCCTGGCAGGATGTGGGATGCTTGGTGACGTCACAAGGATTTGGGAAGCTGCTCTGTGTTTCACTTGCTCACCACTCTGTGGTCTTGGGCCAGTCCCCTTACTGGTGTGCCATGGTGGCAGCCTGCTCTCCCAGCCGTCAGGTTCAGGGGAGACGGTCTAGGCCCTGTGCTTGTTCTGTGGCTGCCTTGAGAGTTCTGGGCCGTTTGGGTCTTAGGCTTGTTCCCAGGCTGGTCAGTAGCAAAGGAAATGAAAGCAGTGAGCTGGCTATGGATCAGAATCCGCTGTTAAGGCGGATGAGGGTCCAGCTTCACTTAACGTTCCTGGTCTGGGGAAGGAGAGGCTCACTGAGCTTGCTCAAGGCTGCAGATGTGGGAAACACCAGGGTTCCGACCAGCACCTGGCTGACTCCAGAGGCCATCCGTCGGGATCTGCCGTAGGTCTGTGCGACCTCGGTTTCTGTCCCTGCTGATCATGGGTGGAGTCTCTCCCTTTCGTGTCTGCCTTTCTTTGTAGTGGTTCTTTTCAGTCTGTCTCCATGGGACACTGTCCTAAAATACTTGACTGTGTCCCATCGTCTATAAACATCACACTCTTAGCCGTGGAAGGCCTTGGTGGCTGTTGGAATGAGGGTTGCTGCTAAAGCTCTGGATGGTCAAGGTGAAGTTTTGTGTAGAGTGGTTAAAGTTACTGCAGAATGATCTCAGAGTCCCACAGGGGAGATGGGGAGGGTGCCATGGAAGCCGCCTTAAGCGTCACTGGACAGCATTTGTAGCGTTGGCGGGAAAGCCAGCAGGCACATGAATGGGCACAGCTTCCACGAGCCTGGGCGCGGGGCGCAGGCTCTCCCCTGTAGACTTGTGTCACTCAGGAGGTGCTGGCCTTGCAGATGCTGCAGGACTGTCCAAAGGCACGCAGAGAGGTGGAGCTTCACTGGAGGGCCTCCCAGTGCCCTCACATCGTACACATCGTGGATGTCTACGAGAACCTGTATGCTGGGAGGAAATGCCTGCTGATCGTCATGGAGTGGTGAGCAGCCTGCTGTGTTCCGTCCAGATTATGCCCATGCCACGCTGAGGTGCCTCCGCCTCGGGACAGCCCACTGTGCAATGTCAACACCTGACTTCCTTTGGGGGTAGTGGAGTGGGGTGGGGTGGGGTGACTGGCTAGTCTCTTTTACCATGCCTGTTTTTCAGTCTCGATGGCGGAGAGCTCTTTAGTCGGATCCAGGACCGAGGAGACCAGGCATTCACAGAAAGAGGTAGAGAGGGAGGGTCTGCTGTGGGGGTAGCTTTGGGTGGACGGAGCGGTAGGCAACTGTAGGGCCTTTTCAGGATCTGCTCACAGGAGAGGCTGGGGTGCTGTCTTCCAGGCTCACTGCTAGGAGCATCTCTCTCCCTCAGCTGTGGGCCAGCTCCAAGCTTGTTTTTGTCCCTGATGAGTTAGTTGGTGGGTGCTGCATTGGCAGGTTGGTGTTTAGAGCTTTCTGACGCCTTATTGCTGTCTCTTCTCTGCAGAAGCATCAGAAATCATGAAGAGCATTGGTGAGGCCATCCAGTATTTGCATTCGATCAACATTGCTCATCGGGATGTCAAGGTACCTACCACGTGGTTATGCCCCATGAGCTGTGAGAATGGGACAGGGGAGTCCCCTTGCACTCTGATTGAAGGATGGGTCTGCATGCCAGTCTCTGGCCTGTGGCCTTTGGGGCAGGGGACGACAAACGTAGTAGTGAAGCCATCTTTAGCTGCACTCGGCCCTGTGGGTCCCCTCATCAGCACCTACTGTCCCACACTTAGCTCTCTGGCCCACCAGTGTCCCCCACAGTCCCACACAGGACTCTCTGGGTCTGCCCTCTGTAGCAGGGAGCTGATGTCCATGTGGTGTGAAGTGCAGAGAGCCTGGATGGATGCATGGTTGGCTGAGCAGATGCAGGGAAGGTATAGTCCTTCCCCTTGGGTTTCTCATAATATTTCCACAGGGTTATTACTTAATCGCCTCTCTTTCTACAGCCCGAGAACCTCTTATATACTTCCAAAAGGCCCAATGCCATTCTGAAACTCACTGATTTTGGCTTTGCCAAAGAAACCACCAGTCACAACTCTCTGACCACTCCATGTTATACACCATACTATGTTGGTGAGTTCAGGGGGAGCTCAAGGACAGAGGCGTTACCCAGGCTGTGCCCCAGCCCCCTGTGTAGCTGGACTCTGGAGACCATAGGTCCTAGGAGTGTTGGGATCTTTGTGTCCTTATCTGGTACTGGCCCTGACGAGATACCATCACAAGTGGACTGCCAAAGCTAAAACATCTGTGACCGGGTGTTATGAGAATAGCCTGCTGGGCTGAGGGCAGAATTTGGTGTCTGTGTACTCTTCTGAATAGCCACAGGGATTCAGATTTCACTTTAAAATCCCAGCTTATTCATAGAATGAGCTCCCAAAATATGTTTGTGAAGTAGGCAAAATGTGTTTGCAAGTCTTCAGCAGTTTGGGGGTGTTCCCCCTAAGATTCTAGCTTCAGAGTTCCTTCTGGGGAAGGGTCTTTTATTTACCTCTCCCACTCCAGCTGCTCTTCCATTATGGTGGGATGAAGGACTTGGAAACAGGGTAGGTCTCAGTGTTCAAAGAGCCAGGACAGCCCACGGTGATCTTTGCTTTACAGCTCCGGAAGTCCTGGGCCCAGAGAAGTATGACAAATCCTGTGACATGTGGTCCTTGGGTGTCATCATGTATATTCTGTAAGTGGGCTGGGGCGTGGCCCGGGGTGTGGTCTGGGTGCTAGGCTGCAGTGCGTTAGGGAGCTGGGGAAGCTTGTGCCTCTGCAGGACGAGAGGAGGAGACAGACATTAGCATTTCCCGTTTGGATGGGGGATTCCCTGCGAATCCCCTGTGTCCCTGTTTCGTTTCATGCTTAATGGGTTGTGGTTGCTAAGTGGTGGGAGAAGTTAGACTGTTTAGTTGACATCCTGAGGTCCTGCTCTGTCTGTATCAACAGTTTCCTTTTTCTCTGTGGCTATTTCAAGAGGAGGCTGTCTCCTCACCCTATTCTTGGGGCAGGGTCCCTAAATAACACCCACTCTATCCTTCTCTTCCTAGGCTGTGTGGGTATCCCCCCTTCTATTCCAATCATGGTCTTGCCATCTCTCCGGGTATGAAGACTCGTATCCGAATGGGCCAGTATGAATTTCCTAACCCAGAATGGTCAGAAGTATCAGAAGAAGGTAGGAACCAGCCTCCTGGGACAAGGGGAGTGTGTGTGTGCACATGCAGGAATAGGTGCCTGTCTCACGTGGGAGAGTGTGTGCACACACATGCAGGAATAGGTGCCTGTCTCACGTGGGAGAGAGTGTGTGAGTGTGCACACATGCAGGAATAGGTGTCTGTCTCACGTGGGAGAGTGTGTGAGTGTGCACACACGCAGGAATAGGTGTCTGTCTCACGTGGGAGAGAGTGTGCACACATGCAGGAATAGGTGTCTGTCTCACGTGGGAGAGAGTGTGCACACATGCAGGAATAGGTGCCTGTCTCACGTGGGTGCTGGGAACTGGGGCCTGGACCTGTCCTGTGCCTTCTAGGTGTGTCTTGCCTATGGGAAGTGCCTGAGGTGGGGCAGGGTCATGGGTCTGTGTAGGGCTTGTCAAGTGCTTAAGCGTGATGGTCCTTACAACGACTGATCCTTGGGTAGCTGTCTCCATATAGTCTGCCTCTGAGTCTGGTTAATGCAGAAAAGTTCAGGGCAAAGTAGAACTCCTGGGCTGTCCCAATCCTGGGCTGTCCTGTCCCCCCGAGCTGTCCATCTATGTCCCCTGAGCTGTCCTGTCCCCCCAGCTGTCCATCTATGTCCCCTGAGCTGTTCCATCCCCTGAGCTGTCCACCTGTGTCCCCTGAGCTGTCCACCTGTGTCCCCCGAGCTGTCCATCTGTGTCCCCCGAGCTGTCCACCTGTGTCCCCTGAGCTGTCCCATCTGTGTCCCCTGAGCTGTCCACCTGTGTCCCCCGAGCTGTCCATCTATGTCCCCTGAGCTGTCCATCTGTGTCCCCCGAGCTGTCCACCTGTGTCCCCCGAGCTGTCCATCTATGTCCCCTGAGCCATTCCATCCCCCGTCCCCTGAGCTGCTCTGTCCTCTGCCTCGCCCCATAGTGAAGATGCTTATCCGGAATCTGCTGAAAACAGAGCCCACCCAGAGGATGACCATCACAGAATTCATGAACCACCCCTGGATCATGGTAAGCTTCATGGGCTGGGGAGAGCTGGGGGCAAGGGACTGTTGTTGCTCCGTGTGGTGCCTTTGGCAGGAGTTTCCTGCTCCGCACTGTCACCTGGACCCGTTTCTCTCTCCTCAGCAATCTACGAAGGTCCCTCAGACTCCGCTGCACACCAGCCGTGTCCTGAAGGAGGACAAGGAACGGTGGGAGGATGTCAAGGTGAGGGACACCACTACGTAAGGGGCCGTTCACAGGAAGTCCCCAGCACGAGTGCTGGCCCCGGCCAAGGACAGTGTAGCATCCCATAGCAACAAGCTGACTGGGAACCATTGCTTTCGATGCACCAGCTTGTGGCAGAGGCTCTGTGCTCCTTCTGCCATCCGTTTCCCATGGGCCTTCCTCGACCTAGGGCTCTAATGGAACCTGAAAGGGCACCAAGTCCTCGGTTTTCAGGTGAGGGCGCTGAAGCCCCCCCACAGGTGGCCTGTTATAGGTCCTACAGGATCAGTCCCAGAGCTGGCCCACCCAGGGCTCCTCCCCGTTCTGAGGAGTTGTGCGCTGGGGCGCTGCTGGCGGTGTGAGCCCGCCCACGGCTGGCCTGTGCCTACCACCTTTTCCCTGCCCTGCCTGTGCGCCTCACTAATCGCGTCTCCGCTCTCTTCCCCCACTGCACGATCAGGAGGAGATGACCAGTGCCTTGGCCACAATGCGTGTTGACTATGAGCAGATCAAGATAAAGAAGATAGAAGACGCATCCAACCCTCTGCTGCTCAAGAGGCGGAAGAAAGCTCGTGCGGTGGAGGCTGCGGCCCTCGCCCACTGAGCCGCTGTCTCCCTCCCCACTGGAGCACAAGCAATAACTCGACATGAATATATTTTTTAAACCAAGAGACACAAGTTGCCCACCGCTGCCTCCTGCCCTCCTGGGCTGTGTGGAGCCCAGATGCGCCTCTGGCTGAATTCTGCCCTTGGCTCTGGCCTCCCTGGAGAGGGGGCTGGAGGGTGCGTGAGGAGCGCTGAGCCCAGGCTCTCGAGCCCAGGCTCCCCTTGCATTTTATCTGTAATTTGACGTAGAATTTTTATGGAACCTCTTTTTATTGTCCTTTCGCCCACTCCTCGTCCTTTCCCCAAGTCCATTCCCTTCTTCAGAGGCTGGGGTTTACCCAAGGGTGTTGTGGAAGTTGTTGCAGGGCATGTCCCTCGGTTGTCCCATCTGGCTTCCCTGGCCTCCTCCTGTAACCTGGGCCCCCAATGGCTGTAGAATCTGGGAGCTCCAGGGAGGGGGGCAAGGAAGTAGCAGTAGGTGCCACTCTGCCTCATGCTGCAGCTCTCAGACATCACCAGTGTGCGCAACAGAGGAGTCCATGCGTGCATGTGTGTGCCCAGGGCTGTGCCAGTGGCTGGGCATCGGAGGGTCCTGGGAAGGCAGGACCGTAGGGACTCCTGCTTGAACTGAGCCTGCCTAAATGCCTAGGTAGCTTGTCTAGATCCAGAGCCAGGTAGTCATGGCCTCTGTGTTAGCTGGGCAGGGGCGGCGATGAGCAGTGAGTGGCCCCTGGCCGCCATCGGGAGGTCTGGGCCCTCGCAGGGTGCCCTGCCCAAAAGCAGTGCTGCTCCTGGGCCCCCGAGGCACCGACCACCGAGTAGCCTCTGCTCGCCCTTCTTGCCGTTATTAACCCACTCTTGTTGAGTTCTCGGAAAGTTTTAGCCATTTCTCAATGGGCCGTCTCTCCGCTCCCATGGGTGAGCCTGGGAAGGTTATACTGCAAGGGGTTCGTATTTCATGCATCTCCCCTCCCCCCATCCCCCGAGCTCTGGGGTACCTGCCAACCTCCCTTCTTTGGCAAGGGCAGGACCATGTGTGGTCTTCCTGGATTTCCACTCTATGGCCTGGTGGGCAGGGCAGTCTTCACACCAAAGATGTCTTGACGCTGTCTCTGCCCACTAGCTACCTTACCCTCAAACAACTCAGCCTGGGTGGGGGCTCCCCAGGATTGAGGAGGGACAGGTGGGGAAGAGTCTTTGTGCCATGGTCCCCCATGCCCCTCTCGCTGGAGGAGGGGTGGTTCCCTCAGGGGTTGGTGGAGGAGGGGCTCCTGGGACATCTCTGGGCCTGGGGGCACTGCCCAGATGTCTGCAGCTCCTCCCTTGTCTTTGAAGGTGTGTTCAGCACTCAGACTGTTGTAAACTGTTGTTTTGTATGAGCAAAAATTGTCTTTACTAAACAAATTTAATAGTTGAAAGTCTTCATTCTCTTCCTTCCCGGGCTCAGGCCCTTGTCCGCTGCCATTGCAGTCTGTGGAGAGAGTACCTTTTGTCAGGGCCCTGTGCCCTGCAGGGAGAAGAGGGCCTGGGCAGATCAGCATGGGAATGACCCCTCTTAGCTGAGGGCCTGCGACAATGAGAGCTGATCTCTTTTGGAGCCAGGGCAGGTGGGTGGCAGGAGTCACTGAAGAGGGTGCGTTCCACAGATGAATCTTAAAATCGGGGAAGCAGGGTGGTTGTAATACCTTAGAGTTCCAGGAGGGAGCAGCACAGGCCAGGCCTTGAGTTGTACAGTGACCCAGCCTCCTCAGAAACCCTGTGATGAACTGAGTGTCCTTGGCAGAGCCTAGAAGCCTGTCTGCTGATTCCACGGCTTCCGTTCCCAGTCGTGGAGAAAGGCACGGGCCGTGTGGTGGGTTGGCTCTACTTTGTGAGTTTACCAACCGATGGGGAGGCAGTGTGCCACTACTCACTCAGCTGTTGGTTTGAGCCAGAACTCAGGCCCCAGGGTCTCAGGGCCTGGAGTGTTCTCTGAGTTCCACCAGCCCACTCTCTGGAGGATGTGCTTGCCTGCTGCCCTAGCCATCAAAGGAAGCACACCCACACCACTCACCTGAGAGCCCTCCCATCACCACCTGAGCCCTGTGGAGAATCATGCAGCTGGCCCTCTAGCTGTCAAAGAACTCTGGCGTTGCAGGCTTGAGAAAGGTGCCTCTTGTAGCCGTGGTCGTTTCTTGGCTGTGTGGGTGAGAAGCCTGGTAGAGAGGGTCTCACTATGCTTGCAGTCTCTGTAGGACCACATTCTATTTTGCCTTTCCCAGAGACTTCTGCGTTCCTTGGCTTGGGGCCCCTTTCTCTGCCTTTAAAGCCAGCCACGTCGTATCTCTCCAACCGTGTGTTGTCACTTCTCGGAAGGCTGGAAGGATTTCCCTGAGAACCAGTATGATGAGAGCGGGCTAGCCCGGGGAGCCCATTCCTAAAACCTTAACCTTGTTCCGGTGCACAAAGTCCATTATGCAGTGGATGACGACGTAGCCACTGGGCCAGGAAGAGTGTTTCTTTGGGGATCGATGCTCTGCTGCAGGGGACTGTCCTAAACGGTTTCCTCGTCGCAGGGCACCAGCACTAATTGGCTCTGTGGTTTGCTTCTTTCTCTCAGTCCAGCATACAAGGTTTAAACATGGCTTCCAAAAAAGACCATGAAAAGGCTGGAGGTCTAGCCATTATCCCCACCTCATTTCCATGGTCCTCAGATTCTCTGTCTCTAAGGGGGGGATTATAAAAGATTCTTTCCATTTGTATTTCTTCGTGACTTTGTTAACGTATGCCACATGTGTACTGACGCCCATGGGCTAGAAGAGAGCATCGGATCCCTTGAAGCTGGAGTTACAGGTGATCGTGAGCGGCTTCACGTGGTCCTCTGGAATAGCTGGAAACAGGGTGGGGTGCCAGCTCTGTAGTAACCCCTTTCTGTCACTCAGCTAACCCCGATGAGCTGGGTCAAAGGGCACCGGGAACTTGTCTCTAAGGGCAGATGTTCATGGCTGTGGGGGTGGATGGGCTGGACATACCCCTTGAAGACGTTCTTGGGTGCTTATTGACCCTCACTAACCCCCGGGTTAAACCCTGTCGGTAGCAATTGGGTTTTCCTTTGTCTGTGAAGAGATTTAGGCTCAGAGTTCGACTCCTGTCCAAGATCACATTTGGTCCCGTGACTCCAGGTCGGGTTTTCTACTTTGACTGTTGGGGCTCTTTCAAAATGCACAGGAAATCTTCAAAATGCACAGGAAGTAAGTCTTTGGGGTGTGAGGGGGAAGCAGACTGGGACCTGTCCCCTGAGGAGAATGCCAGGCCCCTGGTGGCATTTCAAGGGGTTCAGGAAGCCACAGATGTAATGTCTCCTGTGGTGTCCCCCACCCTGCAGGGTGGCTTCCTATAACCATAGCTGCCCCTTCTAGGGACTGCTCAGTTTAGCAGGGCCAGGCGTCTAGGCTGGGCCTGTGGCCCGCTCCCCTGGTCCCTGCTGAGGATTAAGTCTGCCTGGGTTTGGCTTGGTAAGCAGTTAACTAGGGTTTTCCTTGGGCTGGGCTGGAGACAGGAAGAGAGCAGATGTGTGGGCCTGAACGGGTTAGTCGTAGGTGGAGACTGCAGCATGAAGATTCAGTCAGGGAGGAGGTTAGGGAAAGTGGCTGCCCCACAGTGAGTGTAAACAAACCACTGGATCCTGTCATGTATGGGGTTGAGTAAAGACAGACTTTTGGGGAGCAGCCTCCCTCCTCAGCCCCTTCCTGGATCTGCCTCACAAAGCCTACACTTAGGTCTCCTGGCTGCGTGGTGTGAGCCTGGCTGAGTTTAGGAACAGCTGCTTTTTACAGGGAGCGTCAGGCTTCAGTTCTGGGGGCCCAGTCACTCCGTCCCTGCAGAGTCAGGCAAGGACACTGGGCAACGGTTGCTGTGGGTGAAGGCTGTGATGTCCACTTCCGCATGCTCCCCTAACCCCAACCTTTCCGAGCCTTTCCATCTCCCCGAGACAGGAGATGAGCTGACTCTGGCCCTCCATTCCCGTGAAGGCTTTGGTGTGGCGAAATTAAGTAAGAGCTCTGAAGATGGGGAGCGGTTTCTGGTTTGAAGCTTCGTGCCATTTCTTTTGTCTTGGGCCATATGCTGGTCAGTGGCCCGGTGAAGACTTTCAGCCACCCTTGAGTAAAGATGCCACCTTCGGTCACCCTTGCCGCCAATACCTCGCCTGTGTCAGCCCAGTGGCAGTGGGTCCAGCCCCTGCCGCAGTGGGTTCTGAGGAGGGGTCAGGTGTCACCGAGGCAGGGGGACAGCCATGCTCCCTTCAGAGAAGCAGCAGTCACTGGGCCCCAGGGAGGCATCTCCCTCCATAGGGCACCCTGCTAGAAATGGGATGGTATGGTGGTGAATTCTCTCTGGGCTCTTGTCTCTCTCCTGAGCCAGGCCTCCCTCTTCTCCTCAAGGGCAGGCACAACCCTCTTTTTTTTTTCCCTCAACATTTCACTCAGCATTTTTTGTTTGATGGCTGGCCCTATGGGCCCTGCCCACCGAAGAGCTTGTCCCTTGTCCCCTTCAGGCGCCTGGGTTTCTTTCCTCGCGCCTCAGCCCGTACCCTTCATTCTCTAGTGTGTGCTCTCCCAGACCGAAATTTGGGAACATACTCTGATAGGGATTTCCCCATTAGTTTTTCAGTTCATTAATAGTAAAGAGCTGCATGAAGTGATACCTTCATCTGAGATCACTCTTAGTTAGACATTTTGTGAATCACTAGACAAGCTGGCTTTGCATGAGATTGAGCCACTTCAGAAGTTGGGGAAGAGCGGTCCAGACGGCCTTAACTACTGTTTAAAGGCCATGGCTCTAGGAAGTTTCCCTCGGCCCTTGATTTGGAAATCCCCTTGTCAGAAAATATTAAGCATTTGGGAGCCTCCTTGGAACAAGGAGCAAAATTAATCTGTGTGTCCTATGCACGCGTGAGCGTGTGAGCACACAAACATATATGTATACATACATACATACATACATACATACATAACACTATGAAGGTAAGTTACCACCCAAATCCTTTGACCTGTAGGGTTTCAGACAGGGTCCTGTGTATGGTAAATTATCATTAGAGACCAGGACAGGACTGTCATGCAAATACATTCATTTGCCTGACTTTCATGATCTCAGGGATAGGAGAGTTTCTTGCTCTCAATTCATACCCCTGCTAGGATTTGCAAGTGAAATATCCAAACCAATTTCCCCACTTTGCCACCACTGAGGCCCTATGTGGCCAAATATGAACTTGTCTCAGTCTCACGAACCCTGAGGGAGTCGGGTTCCTGGGGCTTCAGAGTGTTCACAAAGGTTGTGAGAGAGAGCCGCTGGCAGGGCTGTGGCGAAAGCCCGAGGCCTGCTAGGCTACTCTGGTCCCTGGGTAACGTGATCTTACTTGTTGCTCAGAGCCAGCAGCTGTGGGTCTCTGGTTCCTCAAATAGCACACATCTCTTGAGGGAACCAGGCCTCAAGTCTCAGAGGGAGATGAGTTCTCCCAGCCTCATGTCTGACTTGTGAACCTGCGGTTCTGAATTCACCAGCCAAAGGTTTACTTTTCAAAGAAACCATGACCTCTTCTGGGCTTGAGGCCTAGACTTTGGTTAGCCAGAGTCTGTGGTGCAGAGTGCTTGCTTTTGCACTGGGGGGGGGGGGGCTCTGGGTTTCTGGCACTCAGTTGCCTCCTTTACTGGTGATAAACTGTTCTAAAGACAACCCTCACAGGAACCCTGCCTCCTACTCTACCCACAACAGGATAGGCTGAGCCCTCAGTCTGCAAGGGAGAGGGCTGCAGGTGTGAATGCCAGTGCGAACTGCTTGTTTGAGGTTCCAGAAAAGGGGTGGTTGCTTTCTGTTGCATGGATACCCATCTGAGCAAAGCCAATCACAGGTAGCAGCTGCTGGCCGAAGCATGGTAGAAATGTCACAGGGTTGTTGGTCCATGCAGAGTGAAGTGACAGCAACTCACAAGTCCTTTGTCCCATGACTCCAGTTTCTTCTCCAGCTTGCTTTTATACTTCGGTTTGTATTTAAAAGAGGTTATTATCCTTAAGCTTGTAAGCACAGTGGGCAAATGGCGTTGAAGGTGTCACGAGGCATATTGTTCTGCAAGTTGCCTTTAAAAGTTGTAACAACATAAAGCTTTGCATCTCAACCATTCACAAAAATTTAAAAGTTTGATGTATTTGTGTATGCATGTGTGTGTGCAGTGTGCATGGACAGATGTGTGTGCTTATGCTCACGTGGAAGCCAGAAAAGGGTGTTGGGCATTCATTCTCTGTCACTCTCCTAGTCCTTTGAAGCATGTTCTCTCCCTGAAGCTGGGAGCCATAATTTCTCAGCTGTACTGGAAGCCAGCAAACCCCAGCAATCTCCTGTCTCTGCACCCACTAGGAGCTGGGGTTTCAGGTATTTTCTGGGT